CCCCAAATTCCCCCAAAATTCCCCAAAATTCCCCAAATCCCCCCAAAACCCCCCAACCCCTCTCGGGGTCCCCTCTCACCCCTCGGGCCCCTCCAGGCGCTGCTCGGCCGCCAGAGCCGCGGCGTCGGGACCCCCGGCCTTGGCCAGGAAACAGAGAGCGGGGTCTGCGCGCATGCTGTGGTACCTGCCGTACCCTAAAACCCCCAAATTCACCCCAAAACGGGGCTAGTCAGCCAAAAACAGCAAAACCAGCAAAAAACCCAGAGAAAATAACCCCAAATAACCCAAAATAACCCAAAATAACCCAGAATAACCCAGAATAACCCAAAACAACCCAAAATGATCCAAAACAATCCAAAATAATCCAAAACGACCCAAAACGACCCAAAATGATCCAAAATGACCCAAAATGACCCAAAACAACCCAAAATGATCCAAAACAATCCAAAATGATCGGAAACGACCCAAAACGACCGAAAACAACCCAAAATGACCCAAAATGACCCAAAATGATCCAAAACAATCCAAAATAATCCAAAACGACCCAAAACGACCCAAAATGATCCTAAACATTCCAAAATGATTCAAAATGACCCAAAACGACCCAAAAACATTCCAAAATGATCCAAAACATTCCAAAATGATCCGAAACGACCCAAAATGACCCAAAACAATCTAAAATGATCCGAAACGACCCAAAACGACCCAAAATGACCCAAAACATTCCAAAATGATCCAAAATGATCCGAAACGACCCAAAACGACCCAAAATGACCCAAAACAACCCGAAAGGACCCAAAACAACCCAAAATGACCCAAAATGATCCAAAACGACCCAAAATGACACAAAATGACCCAAAATGACCCAAAATGACCCAAAACGACCCAAAACAATCCAAAACGACCCAAACCGACCCGAAATGACCCAAAACGACCCAAAATGACCCGAAACGACCCAAAATGACCCAAAATGATCCAAAACGACCCAAAATGACACAAAATGACCCAAAACGACCCGAAATGACCCAAAACGACCCAAAACAATCCAAAACGACCCGGAATGACCCGAAATGACCCAAAACGCCCCGGAATGAGCCCAAAGGGCCCCGGTGCCGTTACCGTGCTTGAAGACCCCGAGCAGCAGGGATTTGTCGGCCTCGGGGTCCCACCAGGCCGAGGGCACCTCCAGCTGCTCCAGCAGCGGGAACCAGATGTGCACGTCACTGGGGGGCAGAAAACGGGGGGGGGACCCCGAAATCGGGGTCAGGGACCCCAAAATGGGATTGGGGACCCCGAAATCGGGGTCAGGGACCCCAAAATGGGATTGGGGACACCGAAATCGGGGTCAGGGACCCCAAAAT